GAGGGCCTATCATGAAATGTTTCCCGAAATTTCGGAGCCGAACGAAATTTAATTTCAAATTAAAATTACATAATACACACCATTTAAAAATGTTAAAATATCGTTCCTTTGGACTTTTATAGTAGGATTGATTAGATTTGATAGACCGATTTTGTTATGAACAAAAAATGAAACTGAGTCCGAAAATTTTAAATTTAATTTAATGGTAGACGCCCCCTCTACCATTTTAAGTACTAATGTACAGAGCATTGATCCGATAAAACCAGCTCCACTAGTTTCAATCGACACTTGGGGTGAGTGGACCGAAAACGTATGCACTGTTTACTTTAAAAACAATGGTATTATGCAACTCAATTATCATGGAATGTGAACCCACTTTAATACACGGAATGGAATTGATATAATTAGCATTATTTTTTTTTGTATTCTAACAGTGAAATACCACTTTTTGTGTTCCAATACTTAAACAGAACAATTTCCTGGAATTTTTATTTATTTATTTAATATATAAGGTGGAACTGAAATAGTTAGTATTCTTTTTTTTTGTATTCCACCAATAAAATACCACTTTTGTATTCTAATACTTAAACAGAACAACTTCCCGGAATATTTATTAATATAGGGAACAAGGGACAACAACAAGGGGGAACAACTCAGGGTGGAACTGAAATTATTAACATTATTTTTTTCCTATTCCACCAATGAAATTCCTCTTTTTTGTGTTCTAATACTAAAACAGAATATTTTATTGTTTTATTTTAAATAGGTAATAGGTATTACACTATTACATTTCGTTTCTCCACGAGTTCCGATGATCGCAAAATGGTAATTTTTAAAAAGCTGCTTTTCTCTTCTTGCTGCTCTTCCCTCGACCATTAAGTTCTCTTAGTCGCCTCCTACGACACTCACGGTAAAAAAAGAAGTGACCCATTCTATGCCGGTACCACACGGAAAACTAAACTACGTATACTTTTAGATAAAAAAAAACTATTTTCCAAAGCGGTTTACAACTGACTGAGTTATTTTATTTATTTTTTCATAGGAAAATCAGGGCTACACTAGAGCAAAAAGATACAGTTTAGGATCACAAAATAAGCCACTAATAGGTTTTCACAAGTAGCAACAATATAGATACAAGGCGCTGTACACAAAGCAACAAAAATAGGAGTTAACAAAAAAAAATATGAACAAACAAGAGGAATGAAAAAAAAAATGATGAATAAAATACAAAGTAAAAATTAATTATAGTTATTATGAGATAATAAATAAAAACAAAAAAAAAAAAAAAACAAAATACAACAGAATTGAGAACCTCCTTTTTGAAGTCGGCTCAAAACTAACAAGCGTTATCAAAATATCGTACTAAGAACGAGAACTGATGTAGCGATAAAGCGATAATCAGATAATAATCGTTCGGCCCTCTAGCGGTGGTATTGAGAATCAAAATATAATCATGTTATACTTTCTAAGCCGTTCGCTATACATATCGACGTTATCCGTATTAGCGATCATTAATAATTTCATATATGGAACTGCAGATGGCGCTGTACCCTTTCTAACGAACATGCTATTTATAAGTGAAACATCACGTATTTTAAGCGGTGTATTGTTTTTATATATTAAGCTTTTTTAAAGCAAATAGCTGCAACAATAAGGTTTATGTATGACTAGCGGCCCGTCCCGGTTTCGCACAGGTGGACATTTTTACATTTTAAAAAGTGGCCATTAAGGCTGCCCACGCGACAGAATCTTCAATACCATGGACTGATTCAAAGAAAGACGTCTAGGTCTGGGAGGAGGAGGTAACAATTGGTACCGGGAACGAAGGTAGGAAGGAGAATTGGGATTATTAAGGACATTATAGAGGACCGCTAGGACATGTGTCTCATGACGCTGTCTGATTGTGAGCCACTGTAAACGAGCGCAGTATTTCGAGATATGATCATATTTTCGTAAGCTGAAAATGAACCTTGGTAAACTTATGTCTCTATTATGGGACCAACATGGGATTATGTAAACCTGAGGATTCCAAAAAGTATTATGTAAATTGGTTTAAAATTGCCAAAAGTGTATTGTAACATGAACACACAAAAAAAGAATTAAAAAAGAAAGAAAAATGAGGTGCTTAAATTAGAAGTTTCTCATACCTACTGTATTATTCAACAAATTTGGACTTTTCCAAATTTGGATTTTTCCAAGTACTCAATTCAATTACTATTTAGCAAATTCTGTACCGATTTCGATGGTTATTTTGTTCATACATTTATTCATTGTTTGGTTACACATTATATTACTCCTTTATACATTTTGTCTCTATCGAAAAGATTCAAACTTTTTTCATGAAGTAAAATATAAAAATATTTTATTTCTGTTATATTAATCACTGTATTCATAAAATTAAAACTTACCACCACCACTACTGGGGTGGCAAACAAGCATACGGTCCGCCTGATGGTAAGCGGTTACCGTAACCCAAGAACGACGTAAGGGCCCGGGGGTTTAACGTCCGCATTGCCGACCCTAAAAAAACATCTTTATCTCTTATTTGAAGAACTCCATGCTGTAGTTTTTTGTAATAAAAATTGACTTTAAAAAATTAAGATAATAATACACTTTAAAAATTAATACTATGTATGAGATTTTCATTAGTAAAAAAAAAAATCGATTTCTGTTATGGAAAAACAGTTATTTTGATTTCGGAACTAAACTACTGAATTGATTTCGATGAAATTTCTATAACCAATAGATATATCCTTTCAGATAAAAAAAAGAATTCCCCAAATACATTTACAACTGACGGAGTTATGTGGTAACGAACATAAAAAAAAAATACAACCGAAATGAGAATCACCTTCTTTTTTTAAATCGGATAATAATTGAACAATTTTTTTTTTAATTAATTTATTTATTTGTCTTCTTTATTCTTTAATTTATTTCACATAATCCCTTAAAGCTGTATACAGCCAAATTTTTTATATATACTCAGTAATGTGCCTTAGCCACTTTGTCCGTACAGAAGAAAAGCAATCGCGTGTGATCCTACTAAACAATGGTACAATACATGCTTTGTTTAGTATTTAGCAAGTTGCGTGTATATGTTGTGTGACTCGTTGTATCCCGCGGTTTTGCTTTCTTCCTTTCTGCCTTCCTTTCTTTCTTTGTTCCAGAAATTAACATAAACTTTAGGTTGTACTGTATTCATTCCACGATATCTAATATTTATAATTTTAGTAGAATTAAAGCGTACTTACGATAGTTTTTGAAACTGTTAAAAGGTACAATACAATGGATTAACTAAACCATTCCTGTAATTGTAATTGTTTGTATTATCTATAATAAGTTTACTATTGTAATTAATCGGTTTGAAGGGTGGGATATGGCGTGAATTTACTGGGTACAGAGAAATAACACCTGAGTCCTCAGGAACGGCAACGCATGGGGGTATCATGGGCGAAACAGTATACTCTGTTATGTCCATGGTACTGCTCATGTCTGTAGGCGACGGTTACCACTTTCCATCAGGTGGGCTGTCAGCTTGTTTGCCGTCCTAAGTTGTATAAAACATAAAACAATTAAATGAAATTATATTTATTTGCAGCGAATGTGGTACATGGATGGAATCAATGATAATAAGTAGCTTTTAACTCTTCAATGTTCCATTGTTAATCTGTTAAACATGGGACGAAAAGGATCCTTAGTAATGGGGTTGTTAGTCCCCATAGCTACTCGTAGCAATAAATCCTGTCAAGTCAATCACCATGAGATTCTCTATGGAAATCTTCTTGGCTTAATTTTTCTCGAATTCATCACGATGTACTAACTGGCCTGCTTTCATCCTCACCTATCATCTCTCACTGGTGCCCCGTCTTTGTGTACAGTTAACGCAGGCGGGGTTACCATTACATTTTTACCTATTAAAAAGCAACGGTTACCACTTTCCATCAGGGAGACCGTCAGCTTGTTTGCCATCCTGAGTATCATAGAAAACTGCGTTTATTATATCCCATGGATTAGGTAACATTTGAGTACCTTCAGGTACTCTAAACTTTAACGTAAAGAAGAGGTTATAATAAATGTTTTGAACATTCCACGTGCATGCATAACAAAAGTTTACCAACATTACTTGCTCCACTAAGTTTAACCTTAACCGAATAGTTACGTAAAGTTCAAACCGTATCTCGTAACTAACTCAGGTAAGTTTCGACTTGAGACAATTTTCTAGAAAGTTAATATTTTTTGTGTAATATTCAATAATATATATTATTTATTTACTTATTGTGTGTTGTTGTTGTTATTGTTACTTTTATCGTACAAATGTGACAGTAATAGGTTTTTGAAAAAAATATTTACGTATTATACATATATACTATCAAATACTGACTCTAATAGCCAACTAAAAAATTGATTTAGTTAATATATAACATGTAAAATTTTTTATATAATACATTTCATTGTACTGTTGAGTGTATGTTAGGATCTTTCTAATAATATAAAAGTGAAAGCAAGTTTGTTTCTTTGTTACCTCTTAGCACCTTAACGGCTTAACCAATTACTGTAAAATTTTGTATGCCGTACTACATAAGTCGCAGAAAAGATATAGGCTACTTTTTATTTCAATCAGTGGACATTTCTACTATGTAAACGAATACATGGGCAAAAACTACTAAGAAATATTCTCGTGCACAAGTTTTGCATTTTTTTTTTATTTTAGTTGGTTTTAGAGAACGATTGTTTTGTCATCACTACTATATCGATTTAGCTAATAAATTAAATTAAGCACATGTGTAATTATTAAATGTAAAATCAGCCGAGGTTCGTAGTTTTAGTAATTCCTAAAATAGCGTTGCGCATGCGCCGGTAATAATAACCATTATACAACAAGCGGCGTAAAAAAAATCGAAGGTCATTTATTGTGACCATTTAGTCACAGCTCTATCTATTTTTACCCATTCATCGACCTTTCCGCATTTCTTTCACAAACAGAAATAAAACAGAAAAACTTCAGATTTTTATTTTTTATTTATTTTTCATGTCTTTAATTATTTTTACAGTCGACTTAGCCTAAGGAATTGGTAACCTTTTATATCACTACGTACACACATGTACATATGTCCATACATGCATGACATGAAATTTTTATATAAATATAGAAAACTTTTGTTGCTTGCGTCCCGGCCATGTGCTTGGCGAGATTCGAAGGTTACTCTCTTTGTTGGAAGAAGAACACTCATACTAAACTATTCTATCCTAATGGCTGTAGTAGTTGCCTCCAAGGCTGTATTGGCTTTGATATTCGTGTCCTACCACGACTGGGACCTTCACTGGGACAGCGACAGGCCTTTCGACGGGAACGGCGTAGGGTCTGTCGACCGCAATAGGTACGGGCCTGTCGACGGGTACTTTGACTGGTACGGCGACGGGCCTCTCGACCGCGTATGGGACAGTCTTGTAGACAGGGTATGGCTCTGGGACGGGCACCTTCACTGGGACAGCGACGGGCTTCTCAACAGGGACGGCGTAGGGCCTGTCGACAGGGACGGAGACAGGGACGGCCACGGGCCTTTCAACGTGCACGGGGTATGGCACTGGTTTCTCGACTGGGTAGGGGGCAGGCACATGCACTGGGACGGGCCTGTCGACTGGGACCTTGACGGGGACGCCAACGTGCTTGACGACGGGGTAAGGCTGGGGTACAGGCACCTTAACTTCTACTGGGTATGGCACGTGTTTCTCCACGGGGTAGGGCTGTGGCACGGGGACCTTAACTGGGTAAGGGACGTGCTTCTCAACTGGGTAGGGCTGAGGAACTGGCACATGGACGGGGTAGGGCCTGTCAACGGGCACTTGGACTGGGACAGGTACTTTCCTTTCAACCGGGTAGGGAGCTGGTACGTGTACGGGGACCTTAACGTACTCCCTCACGGTCACTGGCACGTGTTTGATAACCTCGTAGGGCTGGGGTACTGGGACCTTTACGGGGTAAGGTACGGGTCTCTCCACGGGGTAGGGTACGTGTCTCTCAACGGGCACGGCGACTGGTACGCCCTTGACTAGGGTAACTGTCCTGGTGACGTCGGTGCGTTCACCCAGGGGGATGGTGCCGTAGCTGGAAGCACCGAGGACTCCGCTGTCGATGACGTTGTATGCTCCACCGATAGCGCCGGCGTTTCCAATGTATCCGACGTCAAGGCCGTTGATGCCATATCCATATCCAAGATTGAGAAGCCCACGTTTGTCTAACTTCTTCTCCAAAGGCTCGGCCTTTTGCTCTGACTTCTTTTCGCTGGCAGCAACTGCTGCTACCAGCAGGAAAACTAAGCAGAACTGTAAAAGAAAGATAATAGTTTTAATTGTCTGCATATTGTAACCAGATTTGTCTTGTAAATTTATTATATACTAGTAATATCCTACGGCTTTAGCTGTGTGAATTAGAAGTGTATAAAGTATTCTATGTGCTAAAGAAATAACCTATCCGTGTACCAAATTTAAATTTAATCCGTTCAGTATTTTTTGTGTGAAAGTGTAACAAACATCCATCCACTTATCTATTTACCCATCAAATTTAAATCAATAAATTTTTGGCAACAAAAGAACTTGTGCAATTATAAAGAGTAAATTTAAACTTTGAGTGAGAACTTTCTGATATTGTAGTAATGTAGCGGCGGGTTAAAAACCTTTTTTTGTAACATTAAATGCAATATCTATTTATTTTAATATTTTATCCTTTTTACTTTTTATTACAACTAAGTTTCCGAGTCGCAGCGCAGCAGAGAGAGAGACCATAGAGTAGATTACAAAGCATAGTCTAATATCAACAGATTATTACATCTGTTTCATAGATAATATATTAGGTACTTAACACTTTCAAACTAATTTAGGTTCAATGAAGACATTAAACTTAGTCTAGTGGTACTAACAACTATGACTGTAACTGTGTCAGTTTGGATAATAATAAGTTCGATTCCCAAGGCGTTACTGTTCGGTAAACATATTATTGCACATGCAAAACACAGTGGGCCGGTTGTGTAAGCGTAAACACATAGCGCAACCCCCGTAGGAAAACTTTGCACCATAGTGTTGATTGCAGTATTTCATTCATATGTGGTCCATTGATGTTTGTCGAATAATATAATATGTAAAATGGCTACTTCTCGAAGTTTCGACTGTTTATTTCATATTTTTTTTTAAACTATACCAAAGTTCTTCTGTAAAATTAACGTATTTAAATAACACTTAATATATAGATAGATTATATCATAATGTTACAGAAAGAATTATTATTATTAGTAAAATATGTTTTATTTATTTATTTTACCATATGTAATCCCTTATTTGAAAACATCGGGGAATTATTTTTTTGTAGATAAAAGAATGGGACTACATGGGACAGATAAAGGAAACACTAGGCGTCATGTCGTATAGGTAGATAAAGGATATGGCCTGGGACAGAGCTGGCTGGAGGAAGATGCATGAATTAGTTGCACCGACAAGAGGAAACTGTTAAATAAAAAGAAGAAGATAAAAGAAACTTATATTCAAATTTGCATATTATAATCTTAGTTATTTATATTGCGAATTGATGGATAGATTGATATTATATTCAATTGACTTCAAAGGTTCTCAAATCGGTTGAATTTTTTTTGTTTATTACAAGTACCTCATAACTCCAACCTTTGAAAATCCATATAGTAATTTTTTTTTTCTGAGTGGATATACTTTCATATTGATTTCATATTTAATTAAAACCCGTTCAGTAGTAAAGTTTTGAAATATAAAATAAATAAAGTAAATGTTTGTTTTTTGGTAGAACAAAATGTTAAGTTATTCACGTAAACGCATTATGGTTACAAATCCAGTTCAGTTAAAACTGTAGCTGGTTGCATCATTTAAGTATTATATCAGATTATGTCGAAATACCACTTGACAGAGTCATCACTGACGTGCCACATGTGACAGTTGCACAGTATCATTACGGCATACATTATTTTGGGGACGAATGACATAAAATTCAAAATATATGCAAAGTTACTTACATATATATCTTAAATTAAAAGCATTCTGTCATTAATATTATAATTATTGCTGTATCTATATTCTCATAAAATGTCAAGTATATGTTATATATAATGTTTAAAAAACAAGATGAACAGGATTCACAAGGTTATATTTAAATTTATCGTTAACGGTCTGAAATTTTTATCAAAAACTAGTCATCTAAAATTAAAATTTGGGATTTTTTTTATAACGACAAAAACTTAATTTAAAAAAACTATAGAAAATTAACTAAATAAATAACTTTGGTACCGAAGTCTAAGTGGAAAAATAAATTATATAGTGATATAATAAATTGTGACCAAAAAATTTACCAGTTACAATAGCTACTATTTTTTTTTTGTTTTTTTTTTTTTTATACAACTTACAATGGCAAACAAGCTGACGGCCCACCTGATGGAAAGTGGTAACCGTCGCCTATAGACATGAGCAGTACCATGGACATAACAGAAAATGATAATTATATAGTGTTATTCCTCTGTAAGTAAATTCATGCCATATCCCACCCTTCAAACCGAAACACAGCCATGCAAACACAACTGCTTCACGGTTGAAACACGAATGGGACAAAGTTACAATAGCTAAACCAGAGAAACTAAGGTATATCAAATTGAGGTATATCAAACCAAGTAATAAAAAATCAATGGTTATGTTACTATAGGCTAGAATTAAGATTTCTGGCATAACAAAGTCGTTTGTTTATCTTAGTTCACAATACTCCCACATACATTTTTGCTTTACCGCGATAATTAGGAAGGTTGCATTCTACGCCATACATACAACCTTTACACTTGAGTGTATTGCACAACATAATTTTACGTTCATAACCGACTTTAAAAAAGTGCTTATAGTAATTAATACGTGTCATCACACACACATTTTTGCGCATGTGTACACCAAATTCTCTTAGAATTATGTGTGATGTGCGAATTTTTTTTCCATAGTGATATTATTTCTTTTTTTTTTTGATCAAATGCGAATAACAAAATGACCCAAAGTTCATATGAACTGAATCGCACGTTAAAATCATATATTTACCGATTTTATAATCGATTATAAAATCTTCAAATCATACATCGTACAATCGAACGCGTGCGGGTAAGTAATCGTGTGATTAAATAACAGCTGAGGCGTCAATGCAAGAACATAATTTTGTGTGCAACAAATAAGAAATTTATATCACGGATTGAGGTGAACACGTTAACACGGCCTCAAATCCTGATCCCGGGTGAAAATCTCATTGTTATTCTCAAAGCGGACAACATAATAAAATTGTGACATCATAATAAACTTTCTGTGGTAACCGCCATAAAAATACTATGTTATATATGTGTACCTTAAAGCTTTTATTTTATATTTAACATATTATAAACATTTATAGTTTTTTTTTTTTATGTTTACGAAATGATATAAACGTTGCGTTTAACTATTACAGTAACACGCGAATAGTTTCTTTCAATTGATCAAGCGTACGCCATTTTAAATTCATACTAATTCACAACAAATATTTCTATAAATTTTCAACATAATTAACGATTCAAACTTGTTTATATCTAATTTAGGTGTTTATTCAAAATCAATTGTTGAAATTTTACATTATTGTTTGACAGTAAATATGCTAATCATTATGTATACTGAACGAGGCCAGGCCACAGATCGGGTTGCCTCGTCGCCTCGTGGGATACGGTTACTTCTTAGGCCGATATTTCGTAACACGATCACAGTTGCTTACCTAACGGCCACCGATACTTATGAATCGATTGATTTTCATACTAGAATCCGATTAGTTAGCTGTTTTGAGGACATTTGTGTATAATAACGATGATTTTACGTGTAGCGTAAATGTCGTATTTTTGTAAACATAATGCGAATCTCCGATTACATGTAAAATATATATCGATAAAAATATTATGATTATGTAATAAACTTGTGCTATTTGTATAGTGTGATCAAATAATAGAACGTACCTCTAATTAGTGATGGGACAATTCCGATTATATCCAACATCGATATTTCAATTATTACGCCTTAACAAAAATAATTTCTTCACATTTCTAATTAACATATTAATAAAATTATCATAATTTATTTGTACAATATAAGTGCAATATAAGTTTCTGTCACAATAATTTTTGAGTAATTTGTTCTTGCACTATCGATATCAGGGAAATGGCTTCATTTGGTTTACGACACATATTTGCATAGCATACCAATTACATTAGGTTTCCTCAGATACTGTAGGTACTTGAGCAATAACTGCCTGGCTGTTAAAGTACATCATAGGTCTTTGCTTGTTTCTAAATTGAGAGAATAACTATAATTAATTATTTAAATTGATAGTCATAGTATATTAACCTTATATATTTTAATTATATATTAAATAGCATTTTTATTGCAATAAAATTCTCAGTAAATGTTTTGTCGAAATTCGAATTTATAAATTTATTATTTAACTCTTTATTGCACCATAAATAAAAATATACAATGACAAGTGAATAATTCAAGTAAAATATAGTAACATAAATACAGATTGAAATATATACATAAAGGTACAAAAGACGGTCTTATCACTAGGGCAATCTCTTACAGACAACCTTTGGTTAAAGGAGAACAGATAGAAAATTTAAAAGTTCTACTGATTTTTTTTTGTGACTTTCATATAATTTTAAATTAGTATCATTTGTATCTTTAATTTTTCATTGTTCCGATTTTTTTTTTTGTTGTCTTTTATTGTTATATATATTTGATTAAATTATTTTGTTAGTCCAATATGCACAATTTAATAGTTCGAAAGGTAAATATTATTGTTACCAGAAATATATTACAGTCTTTAAGCCAAAAAGAATATTACTTAGAGATTACGTTTATTATCTCACAATGATAAATTGATTCCAATGCGCTTTGTTTATTAAAAATTGGATTTAGTCGAGGTGATTTTTGATGATAAATTTTGTTTTTTTTTTGATTAAATTTTTAATTATATCTTATTTTGTATGTATTAGCAAATCTTTAGCAAAATGTAATGCAAAAATATGTATATAGTGTCACCAGTAGTGATCCAACATCCTGACTTATTACGTATTAAGCCGAGTTTCAATGAAGTCTACCTGTTTTTCTATGCAAAGTCTGGGTTGAGTACAGGTTTTGAACATAGCCCTTTTAAGGCGAGCCAGCCGATGCAGGACATTTTACGCAATTATTTGTCCTCGATTCTTTGTAATATGTCATTTCGCTATTTCCTTAATGGGGAGGGCAATTGGTTGCTATGATTAATCAAAGGTGATGAAGATTGTTCACATATCGACATATTTATTTGCACCTATCTCCTTATAGATGATTCGATAATTTAATAGATGATATCGTAAAAAAAGAATAATACTAATATATCTAGAGACGTTTTTGATTTTTTTGCAAGAACATTAGAAATATAGAAAAATGGAATAGAGTTAAAAGATATAAGAAATGGATCACAAACACTAAAAGAAGTCAAAACCGAATAATATATAATAGTATATATGTATATTTTTTTAATTTTTTAGTTAATTTGTTGGTATAATTTATTCAATCAGCATATTTTTACTTGTATTAATAAAAAAAAATATTAATATAATAATTATGAGCCTCATAAATATTTTTAGTGAAGTTATTTTAGTGATGTAACCAAACAATATTTTATACGAAATAACCGGTTCCGAAAATATAACACATAGTGAAGTGTAACTAGCGAAAACAATTCATTGATTAATATAATAATTGATGCGTTTCATTTGTTTTTAGCGTTTGCAAATTACATAACAATACTGTGGAATCTCTAAACCCGTTTGATGAGGATTGTATTGGAAAATGTTTAACGTTTAAGTTCCTGTACTGTCTTCCTTGTTCTAAACCAGCAAACGAGTCTGTCTAGATTAACAGTGAAAATAGGTATTGTGATGCAATAGTGTATGGGAACGAAACATTTATTGTGTTTTTCGAATGAGGTGCTACTTTTATCGTGACTTTTTAATTGGCTCGATTTTTTTTTTTAAATTAGCTAGAATTCGGCTATTCTAAGTGGTGTTCCTAGATGTTCGTTGCCTCTTAGAACATGAATAGTTGGTCTGATAGCATGGTGCATATTTATTATATTTTCACTAAGATTAAATGCGTCCATAAAGACATAGATAATGCCAATTTATTTTTAACAATCTGATACAATCGAGTATGAATCTATTACTCACAAAGAATACAATAAGATTTGTTGTTTTTTAATCTATCTATGTAAATAATTTTTAATTGATTTGTTCATTACAATGAACTTAACAGAGTCTATTGTTGTCTTTTATTTGTTTTAATCTTTTGCATCATTAAAATGTAATTTAAACGCTATTAAATTGAATGCTAGCAAATGCTTTAAGTATTATGCATTTACATGTAAATAGGTAAGTATTATAAAATAAGTTATAAATGAAAAGACATTTTGTTATTCATGCTTTGAATTCTAAAACAGTTTGTAACGTTAGACTATGTTTAATCGTAATAAGTAGATAGAGCAATCACTAAATTTGTTGACTTTTTTCTATTAATTCAATAAAATGTTAAATAAATAAGTACGTGTAAGATTATGTTAAAAACAAACAAAGCGTTGACTTCAAAAAAGTGTGTCACATCCCGCTATGAAAACACAATCGGTACCGATTGATTCACAATCGATAATAATTGTAACACTTTCTTAACACTAGCCATAGGCACGGGACACACTGGGAATTCCGTAACACTTTTTTGAAGTCATCACTTGCACTGCACTGCACAACACTATGTCACTAGAGACGTCACTCACCGTTTTCATAATGCCTCTTGAACGGTGGTTGAAGTCGGGAATCGGACTGGATGCCATTCGAATAGTGTCGTGTGTTTTTATAGGTGGATATTTGGTAGCACTTTCGCCAGTGCCCCCCTAGTACTTGGAATATGCGTCTCGTTTGATTCCGTGCAAAGTCCTTCGTATTTGGCCGGCCGTTGGCGGGAGATAGACGCGCCTCGCGTTCCAACTTTATTATTTTTTTTTCGTACAAAATCGCAACTAGTGTTGACTATTATCGAAACAGTCTTTAGTTTAGTTTTAAATGAAATTAAAAAAAATATTAGTTCTAAAATCAAATTTTAAATATTTCACATATTAATATTTGTTTAATTTTACAAAATTAAAAAATGTTATTATTTGGATTTATTATTTGGATTAGTGTTAATAACTTCCAGTGGTATTTATAACCATGGGATATATTTTTAGTTAAAGTGGAAACTTAACATAAAGTAAAAAAATACTAGTAAACTGAAGTATATATATATAAGAAGTAGGTTCTTAGATTATATAGATAAAGCATCGAGTCTCAAAAACGGGTCAACTTTTTGTCAGCTAATTGTCAAATTAGCTGACTTGTTGATTTATTAGTGTTCTATATACTTACGCACACGATTTATCTTGACGTATCTATATTTAATTAACCAATAAATAAAATTAGTTTTACGCATTAAAAATATGCAAAAATTATAAGACAAAATAAATATAGAAGTTATAAAGGAATCACTCATAACTATTTATCACGCAAAATTGTATGAAAAAGTTGACCCGCTTTTCTCGAAGCATTTGTATGGAAACACTCTATCTATATAATATAAGACCTACTGTTATAATAAATCTGTAACAATGTATTGGAATAGTTAATTTTAAATTTTCGCGTAATTTATACATATTTAAAATTAATGGCCGTAAATTAAACCGACGCGATTGTAGGTAAATAGTATCTACATACCAGAGTTACCTGTCATCACATCACGTTAGATTCCAATCGAGAATTTAAAATAATTATCATCGTCGTCATCAGCCGTTAGCTGTCTACTGCTGAACTTAAACCTCCCCCATAAAGGAAGGTATTCCCAGTAGTTGCCACTTGGCAGGCAGTTTGGCAACCGCAGTTAAGGTTTGGTGATTTTTTTAAAAGGGAAGCTGCTGTCTATCCCACAGCAATAATCTATTAGTTGCCTTTGACAATACCCATGGGAAATTAAGTGCATTGCAACTTCATAAATACGTCAACGGCTGATCATTGACCTACCAGGTAATTTTTTTCCGTGACTTTTTTTTATACTACTTAAAATGGCAAACAAGCTGACGGCTCACCTGATGGAAAGTGGTAACCGTCGCCTATAGACATAAGCAGTACCATGGACATAACACAGTATACTGTTTCGCCCATGATACCCCCCATGGTTTGCCATTCCTGAGGACTCAGGTGTTATTCCTCTGTACCCAGTAAATTCACGCCATATCCCACCCTTCAAACAGAAACACAGCCATACAAACACAACTGCTTCTCAGTTGAAACACGAATGGGACAGAGATACCCAAGCAATCGACGTTTGAAAACTTCGTCTGTGTGACCACAATATGTCGATGATTGAGAACAAAAATGGCCTATGTCATTCTTCTTTCCAAATAATACAAATCGAATTTCAAGACGATTGGTTGAGCCGTTAAGAGGACAAGAGATAACAAACAAACTCACATTTACATTTATAATATTAGTAACCAGTTACAACATAACAGAACAAAATAAATTGCAATATTTATGACACTTTCATTCAAATTGAGAATTTGTACAAAAGAAAGATACAAACATATCAATAGCTAAAACGGATTTGTAAGACATTTGGCGTTTTTATGAATGGGGGGAAGGAGAGTTATTGTATAAAAATAAAAATAAAGACCGAAAAAAAAACTGGAATTATTTCACGGAAAAACGTGACCAATTAATGTCTGATATGATACGGTACAATACGTCAAATTTTAATCTTGTTCGGCTTCCCATAGGTAATTTACCGCAATAAAAACTAACTCTCAGGTTGGTTGGTCGCAAAATATCATTAAAATCGGTTCGCGGTTTCGGAGATTAGCGTAAACAAATATCGTGACAAAATATTGTTATAAAGTTTAATAAAATTAGCTTCTTGCCCGCTACTTCCCACGTGTGGATTTCGAAAATAGAGAACCAATTAGATAGGGCAATAACCAATAAAGTAAGCGTATTGAAGTAAAACAAAAGGGAAGTAAAGAGGTTTCTTCAAGGTCGGTAACGCACGCGTAATACCTTTGGTATTGCAGGTGTTCATAGGCTACAGTAACCGCTTACTATCAGATGGGCCGTATGCTTGTTTGCCCTCTCTCTCTCTCTCTTTTTTTTTTTTTTTTTTTTTTACAACACAGGGGGCAAAAAAAAAGTGACACCGCCGCCCATGATCACCCACAACACCAACATTGCAGGTGTGCTGCCGGCCTTTTAAAAAGGAATATACTCTTTTCTTGAAGGTACCTCAGTGGTATAAAAAAAGGTACACATCTAAGAGAACAACATACAGTTTGGAGCAGTAGTTTTTGTATGATGCTAGAACAGATATATAGACAGACAGACAAAATCTCTTAAAATTATTGTTTTGACTACTATTGCTCTTATTAACACTTCAAATATTATTTTTTCTTAAATAACTCCTTTGTACCGATATCGTCTAGTTAGTCTACGACCGCCTTACTGTAGTTATACAACTGTATTGTTATATTTATTAATTGTCTTGCTTATTCCCTATATTGTATAATGCAAATGCGTGTAAAGTATACTCATTCCTTGGATTATTTAGAAAGAGTGTCTCTATACAAATGCTTCGAGAAAAACGGATCAACTTTTTTTTTTACAACAGATTCAACAACATTCAATTTTTATTTATTTATTTATTCATTAGTACAAATATGTGTACATGGCGGACTTAATGCTAAAAGCATTCTCTCCCAGTCAACCATAGGGAAGTGTCAGAATACTCGAATGCGGTACTAGTAATTATTGATATACATACATACTAAAATTACATATATAAACGAATAAATATATATGAATAACAAATATACTTACACATATATGATATATACTATATTATACACGAAATTGAGAATAATATAAAGCACTTACTGCTACAATTTTGTGTGATAAATAGTTATAAGTGTTTCCTTTATAACTTTTATATTAATTTATTTTGTCTTATAAATTTAGCGTCTTTTTTATGCGTTAAAAACTCATTTAATTTATTTAATAATAAAATATAGACACGTCAAGATACATTGTATGCATAAGTTTACACAACATTAACAAGTCTAGCTGACTTAACAATTAGCTGACAAAAAGTTGACCGGTTTTTAAGGCTCGATGCTATTTCTATAGAAAGAATATTATATATAATGTAAGACTTATTCATTAACTCTTATCTCCCATGTACATACGTCATCTAATTAAAATTTTATATAAAAATTATTATATTAGATTTAAATTGGCCGTATGGTCCCGGCATAGTATAGGCCACCTCTTCCTTTGCCGTGTGTGTCAAAAGAGGCAACGAAGGAAGGGTAAGGGATGGACAGCAGCGTCCCTCGTACATCTTTAAAGCCTAACTGCTATTTCCAACCCACCTGCCAAGCGTGGCAACTACTGGCAAACCCCCAAGTGGGAAGCTGTGGACAGTTAAAGGCTGACATGATGATGATGATGATTAGAAGAATTACCTGTTTTTTTTAACTTGCGAACAGTGTACTTTTATTCAGGAAATAACTATAATATTTCTTCCGCTCCAATCTCGAATTCAGTTCAAGATTGAGTTCAAGTTCTCGCATGATAAAATCTGTGCCCACGCGGAAACGTGCCGTTAATAATTGGTTTTATTATCGATTTATTATAAAAAAAAAAAAAAACTCGTTCAGTGCTCAACATTTGACATTAAAGTCAAGGTTTTGTATTATTGGTTCTGAGTGCAACAGTAATGTTAATTGTAAAAGTTAAAAAAAGAGACTACCTTTTTTAAAGTTACCCTACCTTCAAAGGAAAAACGTCCGACTGTCTATCAAGACTATTTTTATACAACTTAGAATGGCAAACAAGCTGACGGCCCACCTGATGGGAAGTGGTAAAACACGAATGGAAAGGTACCCAAGCAATCGGCTTTTGTCGCCTATAGACATGAGCAGTACCATGGACATAACAGAGTATACTGTTTCGCCCATGATATCCCCCCATGCGTTGCCATTCCTGAGGACTCAGGTGTTATTCCTCACTCACTCACTCTCTACTCAGTACTCAGATCTATAGATACATTAACTTTTTACTTATAAAAGAGAAGGTTGATTTCCTGTGGGATTAAAATGAGTTAATTAACAAGTAATTTACCAACTTATCGAATAAGTAATTCTCAATATCCGCCAACAAATATCAATATCCTTCAATCGATTCTAAAAGAACAATCTATAATTAGCAATATTTGAAAGGCATTGTATAAAAATACTTAGAAAAACTTAATGTCAATAATAGTGGCGTTAACAACATATACAAAAGAATAACTGTACAGACAGACAGTGATTTTTAATATTTATCGACAATTTTACTTGATATTAAATTCAAAAAATAAATAAATTATAGGTAAAATATTAGGTAAATTGTCAAAGCAGCAAATATAAAGTTCTATACGAATACGTAATAAAAATTGTATCCCACAAAAAAACTGACTTCAATTGTGACAAAATTAATTATTTTGATCTAAAAACTAAACTGCTGAATCGATTTTGATAAAATTTCGATAGGACTAATAAATTACTGGACAAATATTGATCAAATTTCTATGGAACCAATATGTAAGTATATCCTTTCAGATAAATAATTTTCCAAATCAGTTTAGAACTGAAGTTATGAGGTAACAAACATAAAAGAAAATAGAACCAAATTGGGAAACTCCTTTTTGAAGTCGGTTGAAGATGCTATAATTTCAAATTTTCATCCAATATTGGTATGCATATTCGTACAATAAGGAATTTAAATTTGATTATAAAATATTTTTACTCTTTAA